CCAAAGGGCTCAGCTCGCTCCTCCCTTCACCCCGGTCGCCACCCAAAAACCCCGCGCTCCGAGGTGGGGCTTGCCATCGCACCCTCTGTCTCCCTTCGACAGGGACCTATGCGCACAACGGACCTCGCTCTTCACACAAATTAAGTACATGTCTACACTCTTGATTCCGATTAAATCGGTTTCTGGTAGAATGGCGTAAGTCCATGAAACCACATTTTTCACTGTTTGAAAGTTACACTGAAAAAAAAACAAAAAAAACACACACATTGGATCTAGATTCCAGACTCTTAAAAAAATCGGAAAGAAAAAATACTCTTGATTCAATCAGATTTAAGCTTAAATCAAGACCCAAGCCTCTTAATTTGAGCGGATTTCCTTTTGATTTAAGCTTAAATCTGATTGAATCAAGAGTCCTTTTTCTTGTCAATGTTTTCAAGAGTCTGGACTCTAGATCCAATGTGTGCGTTTTTTTTTCAGTGTATGAAATATTTTTTCTGGTAGGGACATTTTTAAAACCCATTTACGCTAAATTATATTTTGGGAGCTGCGCCTTTTTCATGGAAGTGATAGGAAATTAAGATCTTTTTTCATAATAGTAAAATTGGGTAAACATGAGTTTTAAAGTTCTTATCTCGCATTTTTGTTATTTAAGTTGAGCAAAGAGATACGATCCTTAGAAAAAAACAACAATTTAGACGCTTCGATTTGCTACTTGTTTATGTACCTTTCAAAAAGCCAGTGAAACGTCCTGATTGTCTAAAGAATGAGTTTAAATAGCTTAATATGATTTTTTACCAATGGAAGTCACCCAGTCACACCAAATCCGTGCCTTCAACACGACGCGACGATTACTTAAAACAGATTGTATTACAAAATAATTTTCTGGGGGTCGATCTTTTAAATACGCAGTTAAAAAGCTTTCTAAATAAAACGAATCGAAAGCAGAGCTCTGTTAGCATGACCATGGTAAATTTTGTGCGTAAAAGTATTGATTGTACAAAGTCGGACCCTAATGCTCCCACTAAAATGAAGTAAATAAAGAATGCAAACAACAAAGTTCTTATGCTCCATATAAATCAATGAATTTATTATTATTTTTCCTTTTTTCACCAACAGAGAGAATAGTGGCTGATAATCTTTCTTGGATTAACAAGTGTTGACATCTTTGCCCAGTACAAACAATGGAAAAAATTCAGCTTAAAGCAGGAAACAAAATACACTTTTACAAATTATGTAACGTTACAAGAAAACTAAATACAGCGGTAATTATCACTGAATTATTCACTATGCAAGACAACTTAATCGAAGAATTCGTTCTAATAATTGCACCTCCACGTAATTACAAGGTTACCTTATATTACACGGTATTTATTTATTTACACTTTTTCCTTAATTATATACTTACATTATTTTGTACATTTTAAATTGGCAAATAAAGAGTCAAACATCTTTTCGAGATAACATTTTTTCAACGTGCAGATTTTGTAAAATTCCGAAGATTTACCCATGAATCCTCACCATCTTTTTTTCCAAACTGAAAAAAGTTCAAGTTTGATGAATCGTCACTCATGTTGTACGTGCTTTACAAAAGTTTTAAAAATGTTCCGCGCAACATTCTACAGGGTCAATGCACATAAAGAAAGGCAAACAACTACAGCATGATTGAAATTGATTGTAATAAACATTTTCATCAGTTTTATCTTTACCCTAGAAAATATATAAGAGAGGATGGGAACGTTGGAATAGATTTAGGCAGTTTCCGAAGCAAATGAATCAACCAGGTATTTTAAAATAGGCTAAGTTCAGTAAAAAAAAAACTGTCTGGATTTAATTATTAGTGATCTCGTTAAAGGTTGAGGAAAAGTCCACTTTTTGGACTTTTCCGTCTAACAAGCACAAATACGTAAACAACGAGAGTAATAAAAACGTTATTCTAAGTCAAATGACCGAATTATGAGTGGAATTAACATGGGCGTACCTAGGTCATTTTGCTAGGGGGGGGGGGGGGT